ACAGATCCCTGCAGGCTTCCACAGCCTCTGTCACTCCACTGGAAGCAAAGGGTCCCACCAGCCCTCCTTCCAGTAATCCTGCCCAGCGACTGCAGCGTCCCAACTAGTAAGTACCCTCTGAACACACAAGAAGCATGTGGTCTGCAAACTGCACCCACCACAGAGATTACAGTTGGTCCAAACACATTTTGTTTTCAGAAGAAGCAAAACACTGGTGAAAACCTGGTGTGGTGCCGAGCCATGGATTCTTCATCATCAGCACCTCGCCTTCAGAGTGCACACAGCACCGGCTGGTGTTTGCAAGAAAAAATGGGAAATATCCTCTCTCCACATATAGCTGTTACAAAGTGCTTCATCAGAATGGTAAACCCAGCAGGGCCCAAAGCAGATAGGCTCACAGGTAAGAACCGACAGGCATGGCATGCATCTGATGGCCTTTATTCCCTGGCAAACCTAAAAAAAGACCAGTTGCAGCTTTCTGTACACAGCAAGGGTGTTGTCTTGGTGTCACAATTTTCATACCATTAGAGCAAAGATTATGGGTCAAAGAAACCAGATGTGTTTTGGTATTGAGCTTTAGGCCCTCAACATCCCTGCAGAGGCCCAAAATAGAACCTAACCCTTTGCCACAAAAGCCAGTCCTCACATCACTTGTGAGCGAAACCCAGGTTCACTTCCCAGCCACGCAGCCTCTGCAGACACCTCCACCAGATGGGACAACACATCAGCCCCAGAACACCATACCCTGTTTACTTCAATCCTAATCCAGTGCCAGCAAAGCTCACTGAGAAGTATAACAAAGCATCTCTTTCACCAGCACCTAAGTAGAGCCTGCACACTCAAAGCTTTGAACTTGCCTATACAGCTCATGCAGCATTTTCACCGCAGAGAGAACACAGCGGCAAGACTTCATGCACTAACTGTATCCCTCCCTCACTGCAGCTGTGTGGTCCCAGGGGCCTTAATTAACCAGCATGTATTCTTGCAGGGAGCTGCTCTGTAGGAACATTTACATGTTCAACTCCTTTGGACAAGTTCAGAAGCAGGCAGCTAATCCTCTCCCAGGTCTCAGTGTCATATCAATTTCCTGTTCGAAGCTGAGCTCTCTCCATCAGGGTTTTTAAACTAATGAGATGTACCAAGGACTTCAACTCTGGGAATATCAAATGCAGAAGGATTCAATTTCATTCGATTTTCATGTGATCTTCCCTTCGTAATTAACACCATACAGTATGTAACATCTCTTCATCCTACCACTGGATACAGTCTCTGCTGAAGACAAACATGTCAAGAAAGGTGACACATCATCCTACACTGCCAAAACCTTCTAGCAGTTGAATTTTTTTTCTTTTTATCCCCTCTGCAAATATAATCCACATCCTCAAGGTAATATTCAGAGCTTTAAATCTCCAAGAGCAGTGGCATATGTCCCTCAGGGCTCACAGGTACAGCAGACCCTCTTGTTTTTTCACTCACATGGATTATTCTCTGACACATTGGTGCACGGGCACAGGCTCAGAGAACATTTTGTAGGCTTGTCTTTCCTACCATCATGAGAGGGCTAAGGATCTCCAGTGTGTCTGAGCAAAGACGAGGAATTGTGAAACCATTCAGCATCTTTCCCAAAGGCAGCCCTAGTCTTCCTGCCATGGCGAATGTGCCTTTTCCTCTTCTGCCACAACCCTCCCAAGACCATGCTAACCACATTGCAGAACCGATTAGCCAGTTCCCTAAGCACATGATACTCCTACACCAGCCATGCTCTTCTGTGAGTTTTTGGGTAACTAGAGAGAAGGATCAGCCTTCTGATCTGTTCATACCTTGTTTACTGTAAAAGGAAGCCAGTTTGACCAGGGCTGCCAGACATGGTGATAAGAATTAGCATACACCATTGGCTCCCACCTATGGATTTCATCCTTAAGTGTTAAATGAAAGAGGTGAGCAACTTTGCAGAATGCAGGTAGGGTTCAGGCCCTGAAGGCTTTCTACACTGCTAAGACACAGCTGACTGCAGTGGCCATAAGCCTGGAGAGGACACAAGCCACCACCTGTCCTTTTTTAGACCTAAGTGAGCTCAGCTGTGCTACATCTGGCAGGATCTGCAGAAAAGGCAATGCTCCTTCTGATCAGAGGATTTTGGACTGGTCCCTCTGTGGAGCAAAAGTCTGCACAGCAATATAGCATGATGCAAAAACCTGGTTAAGGGACAATTCCTACAGGCACTGGTATATGAAGGTTTTTAGGAAGGATGTATGTGTTTTAATGCCCATTACTATAATCAGACACTGCCAAATTCCTATGGCCCTGATCCAGCAGAAATCCATGCAGAAGGACCTTCCTTCAACCTCTATGGCAAGGGAACACCCAAGGTAGGAAGGGAAGAAGATACTGCTTTAAGCACAAGCAGAGCAAGTGAAGTCTGTTTACTCCAGGAGAGAAGCAGATTCTTCTCCAGAGGTAAGAAAATAAGAGCCAACAACTATTTACCAGATACAGCTTAACTCTGGGCTGTCGTTTCAGGAGCCACATAAGGGCTCAGAACAAGATCTGGGGTCCTCTCTCCATGTTAATCTTTTGAGGAACAACTCTGCTGCCATTCAAGCACAGATATTAAATATACACTGATTAAAGGCAGCATGCAGTGCAATATATGTGTAATATATTCCAGATCAGTATGTAAAAAGCCTCATTTTTCCAAACCCAACTGTTTTATTTACAAGATCTCAGTTGTACTCCTGACTTTTCCACACAGGGTAGCAGAATCTGGAAGGGACTTGCCTGGATTAATTCAGCAAAAGCTCGCTTTCTGCAGACTCAAATTTATGCTCTACCCTTGTGCATATAACAGCCACCATCCCATTCCCACCCACTACCAGCAGCCCAAAGAGACCATTTTAATAGATGTTGCATTGCATCTGTCCTTGCCCCAGTCCCAGCTCAGAGCCTTAGAACATTAAATTCTATTAACCAGACCATTTGCCAACTGAAGTTGCGACCAACGGACTCTCCCATACCTGCAGCACCCAAAACATCCTTGTAAATCCCTCCCCTGCTGATGCTCACGCTGTTGTGCACAGCCAGCTTCAGAAAAGCCAGTCTCATACTGCTGCGCCAGGAGCCTGCAAACTCAAAGACCTGAGCAGCACCCCAGAGGAGAGTTCATGAACACTTTATTATCACTCCATCATGGAGTTCCCCGCACTGCCCAGCAGCTCCAAATGAGCTCTCCACAGCCATGACAGCACCATAGGACCACCAAGGTTTCATTAATATTCATGTACCATTGACACTCTAGCAAGCAATGAAAGCTTGCTTTCTACAGGGTATCATTAAGCAAGGTGAAACAAGTGACCTTTTAAGACCATCTGCGTCACAGATATCACCGGGAGCTGAAGGGACAGAGACAGGGTCATCACCCAGTACTTCTTCTAATAAATAACAGTTCTAAATGAGCATGGCCTTGCCATGCCCAGCGGGACCCACATGAGACTGAAAGCATCTGGGAAGTGGATGCCTGAACTGCAGAGCCAGGAAAGGCAGTGTCTTCTTGCAGCAGCCCTTCCGGAGAGGCAGGGCAGCTGGTTGTGCTGCCAGTTGTGCCATGCAGTGGGAAGTGAGGGTGCAAAGATCTCACCAGCAGATTAGGTGTGCAATTCTGAAATAAATCATGGTGTTAGGGCACAGTTAGTCCAGCTCACTGGAAACACACACACCTCCCTTTACAAGCTGGTAGCATTTAGGAGCATCCCAGAGCATCCTTGAAGCATGCAGCTCAGAGTATTTAGCAGAGAGCTCCCCCAGGCAGCAGTTGTAACACTCCACATAGCAGAGACTTGATCTCGAATTACAGACCCTAATTGCTGCTATCAGTCAGAGTAACAATTAGCATCAGGTTTATGCATTTCCAGTTTTCTCAGGAGAGGATGCAGAAGGAAAAGAGAGCCTTAGCCCCAGTTTATCTCGAGTTCACTGGGAGGCCACAAGAAACTCAAGACAAACTTTGCAGGCACCGGGGTTACCCAGAATATTCACCACCTCTGAAACAACCAAAGCCACACAGAAAAAAGCTCCTCCAACCTTCCTAGTCCAAGCAGCCAGCCATCCCACCTCTACATTTCCATAGAAATAAGCTAATAGAAGATCACATCTCACCAAAACCAAGATACCCACCCTGCTGTGAGAAGCCACCATCACCCATAGTCTCTCCTCTTTTTTTTTAGCTCCTCCACTGAAGACTGATATCCAACTCACACACATTATATGTGCACAAGACAAGGTTGATTCAGCCTCTTCATTCTTCTATGACTCTGGATCTCCATAACCCCATGATACTAAAACTGAATTGTGCAACAGGCCACATGCAAGCAAGGAAAATCCTGTACCCCTACACCCATGGCTGCACACTGAGCTGCCTATAAGGGCCTTTGCAGCATGCTATTTCATAAAAACTTTGCTTCATGTTCCCTTATAAATTCTGAGGGATCGAGAATAGAGTCAGAAATTAAGGACATGCAGGGTGATCCCAAACCCACAAGATTTCTAAAAGCATTTGCCTGATCTGCAAACTTATACCAGCAGGAACTCATCTGTGCTCATCATTTCCCTCCAACACAGAGGTTGCCTGAGGAACAGGAGAGACCATGTTCAATAGCAAAAACGTTTAATGCTCAAGGTGAGAGGTACATACTGCTTTAAACTAACTCAAAAAACTAGAGGACAGCAAAAAGCATAAAGCCAAGATGGCAACATACTCACCCTCACAGAAGGTCGCCCCACAAGCACTGCTGTCTGAATCACTCTACAGCTGTGACTAAGGGACATAAGGGTGTATGGGCACAGGGCTACAGCAAACAGAACTGTGAGGACACCCAGCAGGGCTACGGCCCCAGTGCAGCCTGCTGGCCCTCCTACCCACGGCCAGAGGCAGAAGGATCGCAGGACTAAAAGCTCCATCCCCAGGAAACCCACTGGAATTGCGTGCTGCAGTCAGCCAGACTTACCCTGTGCAGCATCCCAGGCTTGGCTGGTCACTTCCACCTGTGCGTCCCTGTGAGCCAAAACGCCCTGGACGGAGGGAGAGCATGGTGAGCAGCTCTCAGGGTGTCTTTGCAGTGCCTGCCCAGCCAGACTCCCTGAGTTTGCACTGCCCTCAACAGCCTCTGTTAAGAAGCAAACAGCCCCAACACTACAGATACTCACACTTCTGGAAGCATTTTAAAGTCAGACACCTACATGCTTGCTCACTGTCCCAGTGCTCATAGCACACACACCCACACCCCCCCCAGGCAACCTGGACCTGGGCCCACAGCCTGCTGTGTGCAGGTCTTGGCCCCACAGCCCATGAGGAGTGGGCTCTGGCCCTACAGTCTGATGCAAACAGACCTTGGCCTCCGAGCCTGTCACGATGGGGACACAGCACCACAACCTGCAGGTCCCAGCCACACAGCCTGCCACAAGGTCTTGGCCCCAAAGCCCATTAAAAGTGGGCCCAAAGCTCACATTGTCACAAGCAGATCTTAGCCCTACAGCCCATCACAAGGGGGCCGCGCCCTACAGCCTGCGACAAGCAGGTCTCGGCCCCACCCGTTATCACAAGGAGGGCGCAAGCCCCATCGCCTGTCACGGGTGGGCCCGGTCCCCGCAGCACTGCGACAGCCGGCGCCCAGCCGCAAGGCCGCTGTTTACCTCCCCGCGGGGAAGCGGCGAGGAGCAACCCTCAGCTCCGCCTCCGACGGAGGGGCGGGTGTACATTAGCATGCAGCGCGGTGCGCGCTGGGTAACGCCGTGCTCACCCTGAGCTAGAAGCGGAGGCTGCCGCCCGTGCATATATACCAGCGGCGGGGTGGGTTGGTGCGTCCGGGGGAAGCTCACCGCCGAGGCCACGCACTGGGTGCGCGTCACCCCGGCCCCGCCTCGGGGAAGGTCTGAGAGAAGGGCCGCCCGCGGCTCTAGCAGAGCCCTGCCCGCGATGGGCGGGTGAGCCACCAGAAAGGGGGGGCGCCGGGAGGGCCGGCCTGGGCAGGAGAAGCCGAGCAGGGTCCGAGGCGGGTCCTTGCCCCCCCATGGAACCCCCGGTGGATGCTCATGGCCCCGCGGTGCTTTGAGACAGACTCACGGCCGGCGATTGCTGAGTCCAATGGGTGAGGTGGGGCATCGCCCTATAACCCAATTCAGACTACTCTCCTCCGGACACCCTTTTTTTCTGCCCCACATGCCTTTTAACTCACCCAACACACTGATGGCAGAGCCTGGGCAAACAACCAGATGCTGGCCCATCCCATGCAACACAGAGAGCCTCTCGATAGCTCAAACACCTCCACAGACATGTCAGAGTGCCAATGTCAAAAATGCTCCTCACGTCAGAAAAGAGGTTGCTATTACCATCCTTCTCTAAGGAAAGGGACCACCTTTCAGCCCCCTGACAGCCAGCTTGAGTCCCAGGCAGCTTTGCAGGGTATCCCTGCCACAAGCTTCAGAAACAGACAGGCTCCCATCAGCCATCAACCCCTTACCCACCCTGTGAGCATGGATGGGAGCTGGTAAGGTTTCAGCAAGGGCTCACCTGCCTGTTTCCTCTCCCAACTTTGCAGCAAGCATTACCATCACTAGCAACCACACAAATGCAGGGACAGGAGACACCTGAGGTTACCTCTTCCATCTGCCAATGCACAAGAAAATCCTGTGTGCCCGTGTTTGTCTGATTTGCACTTGCAGATCTCCAAGGGAAAGATTTCACAGCCTCCCAGGACTGTCCTGATGCTTAACATCCTTACAGCTAAAGGGGTTTTTCTCTGTATCTACGTGAAATCTTCCCTGCTGCAAATTAAGCCTCCCTATTGCTGCTCCCGTGGAAGCTGTGGGGACAGTCAGGCACCACCCCCTGAGAAACAGCCTCCTGCATGCCAGAGGGCTGTCATCACATTCCCCATCCTCCCCCAGCAGATCTTGCCTATAAAAAACAACCTCATGGCCTCTTCGGAGGTCATTTTTCCCTCAGTCTTTTACCACCCCTGCTCTTCTCTTCTACGCTTGCTCCAATTTGGCCCTGTCTCCCAGTGCAGCATCCCAGCTGGGCCACTGTGCCCAGCCAAGACCCGCTTCAAAAATAATCACAAACACCATTTTGGTTCACAATGGTCACTGCTGTTGATTTCTGCCTCACAGCGGGTTGGGGTAGCGCCACTGGGAAAGCAGCCTGGGTTGGGTGGGTCGAGAGGCAGTGATGAGCTGGGAAGAGAGAGATACGGTGTTAGGGAGGGGTGTACCCGAAAGTGTGGAGCTGCTGTCCTCAGGATGTAGCTACCAGCATCACCCCCCCCCCCCCCCCTTTCTCTTCTCCATCACACACCTCCCTATCACTGTCCTCCCCCAGTTCATTGTCTTATAAGTCAAACACTTACGCAGGGCTGGTTGTGTCGTGTCATGTCGTCTTTCCCCATCCCCGTCCGTCCCGTCCTGTCCCCCCGCATCCCCATCCCCATTGCAGACTGCTTTCAATCTGCATCATCCAAGAAGCCAGGAGTCACCCTCAACCCTATCCAGCAACACCTTGGAAGGATGCTCTCACCTGGGAGACCTGGAGAGGGTTGAACAGGGGGACTGCCCCCACTGGTGGTGGATGTTCATGGAACCCGGTCTGGAAAGGGTGAAGGAAAAGAAAATTAACAGACAGAGGTGTCCTGGACACCTCTTTCCCTCCTCCCTAACACACACAAATACCTCTTTCTTCTCCTCACCTGCTCTCCTGCTGATTCCCGTGATCCTTTCATCTCAATGGACAGCGGAGTAACAGCAAAAGCATTTTCACCTTGCAACCCTGCTGGGGCATGCAACAATTACAATACTTAAGAAGAGCAGCTTCCAAAACGCGGACAGGGACAGGGACAAGGGGACCCATGTGGCATTTACCAGGGTTTCTGGAGGGAGGCTGAGCCGAAGGGGCTGTCCAAGCTGCAAGAGGGGTGTCGGATGGGAATGGTGATGTCTGTTCCTGAAACCACATCCACCCATGTAAAGCAGAAGTTCCTTGCATGCTGAGAAGACTTCTGCACCAGATACCACACCACATTTTCAGGGTACCACTCAGCAGGATGGGGTACCCCAAGGGCTACAGGCAACCAAGCTAAGGAGGGGCTACAGGGTCAGGGCAAGCAACCCCTGTCACAGCCTGAGGAGAGGTGAAAATTAGGCAGGACACCAAGCCTGTGTACAGCGCAAGGGGCCATTAGTGTCCATGGGCCACATTCTGCTCCTCATCTCCTGTTGGTTTTGGAAGAATACCACAAAATCTTCTGCTCCGGGACTGCAGTCAGGGATGTCACCCTGAGGACTCAGCCAGAACTGGGATAACCGTGCATGGCTGCTTCCCCCTCTCTACTGTGCTTCCAATTAAAGAGGTTTTCCTTCCCTTCAGCTCCTAAACCCTGCCCAAGCCATGCCTCTCGCAGCTGCTGCTTTCTGCTCCAGCGGAGGGCAAGCGATCTCCACAGAGTTTGCCAAGTGCTCAGAGGACTTCCCGGATCAGAAAGGTTTTATAAATTTACAATTATTATTAACCAAGGATTGACTTCCAGGCTAAAAGGGCTCCTGGTCCTGCTCTGTTCCCACATAGAGCAGCTATGGCCATGAAGAGCAGTGCGATGGCACAGCCCAGCCACCTGCACAAGGACTAAGTGGGTAATGGTGGAGCCTTGTCACCCATCGTCATGGCTGTACCCTGTTACTTAGGGACTGCACAGCCTTTTGTCTCCTACCTGCAGTTCCAGTGTGGGGGAGTCTGGTGGATTCTCAGACACATCTCTGGGAGAGGTTTCCTTGGTGGGCTTCGACCGAAACCAGCCAAACCACCTGAACCCAGAGTTCTGGGAAATGGAGGTAGTCACAAAGGAGAACAGTGGAAATGGATGAAAAGGGGAGGATGCCATGGCCACCCAGGTACCTGCCAGTAGTAGGCTCTATTCTACCAGAGGCAGGGCAGACACCAAGCATCAGAGGCAGACAAGCCCAGAGCATGAGGCTTCACATCAGCTCTGGCATGCTCACCTTGTCCTCATCCAGCTTCAGTGCCTCTGCTGATGCCAGCTCTTCAGCAGTGCCGTCAGCCACGCTCTCTGAGGAAGGCCGGCTGTCATCTTCCAAGGAAACAGTGGAGCTCTCTGAGACAGTCCGAGCCTTTAACCCCTCCTGGCATTGGAGACGCAGCTGCCATATGGTGTTCCCAGAGGAGCCGCCCCAAAGCACTATTAGAGTGCTGCCAGGATCCCACCATGCCAGACTTAGATAGCATCCCTAGGGACCTCTGCATCCCTTACACGGCAGATGGGGAGAAGCAGCACCCACAGCAGGCAGGAGGCAGGAGGTAGGAGGCTGCGGAGGACTACCCTAATCCATCAGGCAACACAGCTGGCACCATGATGGGGAGTTTTGAGAGTTAAGTGAGTGGAAGGATAAGCCACTAAGTCCCAAATCCCCCCCCAGAGTTCCCAGTGGGATGGTCTTCCTGATTCCTCTGACTCACCTGCTCTTTTGGGAGGGATGGATGACCCCCCTCAGGGGACAACAGGGCACCCCAGGGCTCCCCAGCCTCTCCTGTGGAACAGATGGAAGGACACAGTCAGAGCTTAACCAGAAGAGCTCCTGCCATGTCTATCAGAGGCATTTTCAGTGCTGTAATCATCCCACCCTAGAACAAGGTTGCATGGCCAAGATGCTCCCGCTGGCCAGGAGATGTAAAAGGCCTTTCTGGTCCCTGTCAGCCCCAGGGAGGAAGTCACAAGGGTGCACCAATGCATCTCAAACCTGCTTGCTTGCGCTGCTGGATGCAAAGCTGGTTTTCCATCCAGCAGGGCAGCAGCAGCACTGCCAACAACCCACAGGTGTCCTCCTTCCTGCTTTGGGCAAAATGTCCTAAAAATGAAGGCGCACCTGCCCAGGGTGGCCAGCACTGCTGGACTTGGTTTGCATGCACAGCGCTGGGGCAAGCATGGCTTGCCATCTGAGACAAGGTTGGAAGGAAATGAGGTGCTGGGAGAAGGCAGTGCTAGCAGGGAGCAGCAGCTG